AAGGGCTCGATTCATCAGTGTGCTGATCTTTGTTTTGTTAACCTTGTTCAGTAAGTATTTTGTTAGATGTGGAGTGGGAGATAATTCTTCTTCATACTTGAAGACTGGACCAGTGTTTTTTGTTTTGTTTTCATCAGGCAAACCCAGGCCAACAGACAGTGCCCCCCCCCCCCCCCCCCCCCCCCCCCCCCCCCCCCCCCCCCCCCCCCCCCCGTTAGCATCTGTGTCTTCTGAACAGTTTCACAGTCCTAGCAAACAGTTTAGTACTATATCACTTTATATGGATTTTGATGATTGTGTGTGTTAGAGTGTGTTCTACCATTGAGAAAGCAATGACAGACTACTGAAAGTTATAATTGCTTAGTACAGCTACACAGTAAATGCTAGAGTTGGTCAAGTCCTGCACAAAGAGTTAGAACCTGTTTCCTAATGATCCTTGTTTCCTTATGAAGGTAGCTGTGAACCCTTGACCTCTATCACTGAAGGTAGCTGTAAACTCTTGACCTCTATCACTGAAGGTAGCTGTAAACCCTTGACCTCTATCACTGAAGGTAGCTGTAAACCCTTGACCTCTATCACTGAAGGTAGCTGTAAACCCTTGACCTCTATCACTGAAGGTAGCTGTAAACCCTTGACCTCTATCACTGAATTTAGCTGTGAACTCATGACCTCTATCACTAAAGGTAGCTGTGAACCCTTGACCTCTATCACTGAAGGTAGCTGTGAACCCATGACCTCTATCACTGAAAGTAGCTGTGAACTCTTGACCTCTCACTGAAGCTAGCTGTGAACCCAGGACCTCTATCACTGAAGCTAGAAGTGAACCCTTAACCTCTATTAGCTGTGAACCCATGACCTCTGACACTGAAGGTAGCTGTGAACCCATGACCCCTTTTACTGAAGGTAGCTGTGAACCCAGGACCTCTATCACTGAAGCTAGCTGTGAACCCATGACCTCTATCACTGAAGCTTATGGAAAATTTTGATGTCACTTGGTTTAAAAAAAAAAAGGCTGTTTATACTTATAAGGAAAAAAACACATTAATCACTCACTGCATGATAGTCAATAAATATATTTAACAAGAAAGAATGTAGTGTTATCAGTTCGCTACATGCATATTTTGTTGTTGCAAATGTTAAAATGTATAAAAACAATGATTATGGGAACAAGTGTTTTATTATTTCCTGGTCTGTGTTTTAATATTGTAACTTGCTGGTGTCAAGGTTGGGCAGCAGCAGATACGGGTCAGTCATTGAAATCATTTTCAAAGCTTATTTAAGTTCAAGGTTGCCCTGCTTAGGAGAGATAGTGGTACAAATGGGGTATGAATGAATGAACTTTACTTCCAATGGGTTATAAATTTGGCACACAGGCCTGTCTTACACCCATCTTTCACACGTCAATTGTGTTTTAGAGACGGATGAATAGAGAGAGATGGATGTACAGCAGACTGTACCATCGGATTAAGAGACAAGAGAGTGTGTGAGATCTACAGCGACCAAGCTTTACTGTGGAGCCAGGATATAATTGGTTTTTTAAATCAGTATGTTCCCACTTCAGTTGCAGGCTAGTGCGATATGTGTGCTGGCTGATGCAATATGTGTGCAGGTTGATTTGACATGTGTGCAGGTTGATTTGAAATGTGTGCAGGTTGATTTGACATGTGTGCAGGCTGATGTGATATGTGTGCAGGCTGATGTGATATGTGTGCAGGCTGATGTGATATGTGTGCTGGCTGATGTGACATGTGTGCAGGCTGATGTGACATGTGTGCAGGCTGATGTGATATGTGTGCTGGCTGATGTGATATGTGTGCAGGCTGATGCGATAAGTCTGCTGGCAGATGTGATATCTATCCATTTACTAGCAAATTATGTTTGTTACAATTGACAGTAAACAGAGACAACAATAAGAAACCTACAACATATCAAATGTGTGCCACAAGAAAATTAAAACAAACAGAATGCAAATGTAGCTCATCAATGTTCTAAATTGAATGCTTAGCCAGACCTTGGTGAAAAGACTGTTAGCATGGGAAATAAATTTACAGATACTGATTGGCACTCATGAGAGGAAAGGAAAGAAAACAGATTAGAAAACAAACTAGACTACATACATATTGAAAGGCAGAGTGTATTTGTGTACAGCTGGTCAAAAAAACTTTTGACGGCCAGAGTAACTAACAACGATTGTTTAAAAGAAGGTAATGAGAGCAGGTCTCTGTATACAACAATAAGAAGGTGACAAACACTGTTCTTTGGCCACGTAATGAGAAGAGAGGTATTGGAAAGCATAGTGACAACTGAAAAGATCAGTGGAAAAATGGGTAGAGGCAGACCAAGAGAGATGATGCTGGATGGGCTGAAATGATAGCATGGAGGGATAACACCAAGAGAGCTATTCCAGGCAACCAAGGATCGTGATCTGTGATGAGTGCCTACACTAGTTGGCAGGGCACATGATGATGGTCAAAAGAAAAGATCCATCCCATTGGGGCCGACACCTTCTTTACTTCTAGATTATAATCTTGACATGAGGGCCGGAACCTGTGGGCATAGTTCTCCTCACCCCATCTTTCCTTTTCCATAAAATTGTAGTGGGTTGAGTCCGTTCCATAGAAAATGTGTAAGAGAGCTAGGTGGTCCCTGTAACCATGTGTAATTAATATTATTATTACACACATAGGCAAGGCTTGAACCTCTTAAAAGCCCCCACCCCCCATTTTTGTTTCCTTTTTTTGGTTGAAAATGAGTAAAGAGTGGTGATGTAGTTGTTTGTCTGATTACACTACCATGGTTCAAATCATGTCTTCGAGGAACTCCAATCAGTATTGATTCTTATGCTGCTTCTTTACGTCCTCTTCTACCGCTTCAGGTGCGGAGGGAGATATAAGGTCCTGCTTCGTGCTCTTCAGGTTGCTATGTGCTCTTCTGGCTGCGTCGACCATAGACACAATATGGTGCTGTAGATGTTCTCAGATGTTATCTTCCCATATTGTTCTTGGTCTGCCTCTTGCTCTGCGTCCCTCTCCTCTTTTAGTATATGCCTTGTATGGTATAGCATCAGAAGGCATTCTCTCCAAGTGGGCAAACCATTTGATTTGCTGTCTTTGTATGTAATTTAGAATTGGTTCTTTACCGAATTTGTCTTGTGTGACCTCATTCCTGATTTTATCTCTTCTGGTGACTCCTACAGTCATTCTCAGACACCTCATTTCCATGGTTTCTAACTTTTTTTTTTTAAATCTATTTTTGTTAGTAACCACGACTGGGACTGATAGCATAGAGTGGGAATAATCAGTATTGATACAAGTGTCAAACTCGAGTTTTCCCTCATCATTTCGTGATAGTTTAGTTTTTGCCACTGTTTTTGAGAACCTGAACAGGCAGGTAGACTGACTGGCTGTTTCTTCACCATTTGGTGGTGGTTGATGCATTCCACATTAGATGTTGCAAGGATCCTTTGGGAACGAGTGAACTGTGCAGTGTCCCAAAATTTCATCACTATATAAGGAGAATGGCGCTGCGAGAAGTGTGGCGGGGAGGGGGGGGGGGGTCTGACCGACGCGCAGCACTGAAAGACAGTGTGAGACGAACATAAAATCATAGTGTTTTAGAGACCTTCGAATCTTCAATTCTGCGCTTGCTGCTGAAGATGGATATGGAGCGATTATGGGAATGTCTGAGTGATGTGATTTCGATTCTAAATTCAACTTTCATTCTCAACAAACTGTAAATATGTCTAGACAAGATGGCCTCTAACGTCTTCAATCCCCAAGATACGTGAACGCACATCAGGCCAGCCAGTTGAAGACATTTCTTATCTACCGGAAATGAATATAATATCTCTGCGCGGAAGCAAATGTCTGGAACTAATGTGCAAGCGTCCATTCGGGGCAGGTCATCATTTGCTTGGACCAGGTCGCCTAGCACGTGATGCGCAAAGATTTCGTTTGATTATCTGTTCTCACTGGGAATATTAAAGGATGTAACAGCTCTCTCTCTCTCTCTCTCTCTCTCTCTCTCTCTTTTTTTTTTCTTTTCTCGCTCTCTCTCTCTCTCTCTCTCTCTCTCTCTCTCTCTCTCTCTCTCTCTCTCTCTCTCTCTCTCTCTCTCTCACTGCCCCTGTGTCACTTTTAACACCAGGCTATTTCCTTCCTTCGCTTCCTTTTTAATCCTTTCTTTCTTGGTTTCATTCCGTCTCCCCCTGTCTTTCTCACTTTT